GTACCAAAAAAAAAAAAAGATTTTCATTATTTACTTCTGCCAAGAGTATAGGAGAATGTCTAATATCTCAAGTAGTTCTATTTTTTTTTTCCAGTCAGCTGGGTAAGACACTCTATGACACTGTTTTTCTTTTTTATATTTTTCTGATTAGTAGTGGACCAAGCTTCTCCTCACATATTCTTTTTAAATTGATATTCTTTGTCCGTTCCTGTTGGTGTATATGCCTTTTTGTTTCTAATTTATAGTTTCTTTTTATGTTAGGGCTACTGATATACATATACATGTATGTGTGTATTATATATATCTATATATGTGTATATTATAACATGTATATTGCAAATAATTTTTGCTTATTTTCAACTTTGTGTATGAGGTTACTTGTATGAAGTTTTGTACGAAGTAAAATTTTCTACAGCCAAACCTATCAGATTTTCCTTTTTGATTCTGGACTCTGCATCTTTTTTTTTTTTCTTTGGTACTGGTGATCAAACTCAGGACCTTGAGCCCACATGGCAGGCACAGTGCCACTGAGCTAAATTCCTGGCCCACTCTGCATCTTTTTTTTTTGGTACCGGGAATCGAACTCGGGTCCTTGGGCTTGCACAGCAGGCGGTGAAACCACTAAGCTAAATCCCCGGCCCTCTGCATCTTTTTTGAGGAAGTCTTCCTCATCCAAGATTTTAACATTATGAACATTATGAAGACACCATCTAAAACGTTAATAGTTTTTTATTAGTATATGTTTGTGATATAGAAAAATAACATTTATTGTGGGGAATATATACATGACTATAGATGATCGATTGATAGATAAATATTTGTTGTGTCTTAAACATTTCTGATCCTCTATCCCAGTGGTGGCAAACTTTCAGAGCATTCGATGGTACAAATAGCTTGCTGCGGCACACAGACCACAGGTTTGCCACCACTGCCCTACTCTGCTTTCCCCTTCCCCAGATCCCTTTACCCATTTTCAAAAAAAAAAACTACTTCTCTGTTTCCTACCACCTCTCTTTTATTTTGCTCTTTAAATTATTTATATTTTGGGTTTCTCATAGGAGATAAATCATGTGATATTTAAACTCCTGTGTCTGATTAATTTCACTTAATATTATGGGGTCAAGATCCATCCATTTTCCTACAAATTATTCAGATTTATCTTTATGGCTGAGTAATACTTCATTGTGCATTTATACCACATTTTCTCTTATCCATTAATCTGTTGATAATATATAGGCTGTTTCCAAAATTTAGCTATTGTGAGTAATGCTGTTATAAACTTGGATATGCACATATCACTGAAATATATGTCTTTAACTCTTTCAGGAAGATACCCAGGAGAGATATAGCTGGGTCAAATGGAATTTCTAATTTTAGTTTTTTGAGGAATCCCCACACTGATTTCCATAGTGGTTGTACTAATTTACTTTCTCACGAACAATATAGAAGGGTTTCTTTCCCCCCATATCCTCACTAGCATTTATTGCATTTGAATCCTTAATGATAGACATTCTAACAGGAGTAAGACAGAATCCAGTGTTGTTTTGATTTGCATTTCCTTAATAGCCATAGATGATGAACATTTTTTAATGTACCTACTGGCCATTTGTAATTCTTCTTTTGAGAAGTGTCTATTCATTTCAGTTCCTCATTTTTTAATTTCAGGGATTGATTTTTTTGTTGTTCTCTATATATCTAGATACTAGTTCTCTATCAGAGGAGTAGCTGGCAAAAAATTTTTCCCACTCTGAAGGTTGTCTCTATGTTGATTGTTCCCTTTGCTGTGCTGGTCTTTAATTTAATATGATTCCATATGTTGATCCATGCTATTATTTCTTGAACAATTGGAGTTCTGTTCAGGAAATCCTTGCCTATGGCTGTTTCTTCAAGTGGTTTGTGGGGTTTTTTGGCGGTATTTACACGTTTGATTTATTTCACCTGAGTATGGCTTCAATATGCATCCATTTACCTGTGTCTCTAGTTTATCTTTATGGCTGAGTAGTACGCTATTTATTAAAAAAAAAGCACGTCTTTTTTAACCATTCGTCACTTGAGGGGCATTTGGGTTGTTTCCAAGCTTTAGCTATTACAAACTGTGCCCCTATAAACATGGGTGCACATATATCACTGTGATGTATGATGCTTTTAATTCTTTCAGGAAGATATCCAGCAGGGGAATAGCTGGGTCAAATGGGACCTCTAATTCTAGTTTTTTGTTTTTTTGTTTTTGGGGGGTTTTTTGGTACCGGGGACCAAACTTGGGACCTTGTACTTGCAAGGCAAGCGCTGGAACCACTGAGCTAAATCCCCGGCTAATTCTAGTTTTGTTTTGTTTTGGGGGGGAGGGGGTACCGGGGATCGACTCGGGTCCTTGCGCTTGCGCAGCAGGCGGCGAAACCACTGAGCTAAATCCCCGGCCCCTAATTCTAGTTTTTTGAGGAATCTCCACACTGATTTACACAGTGGTTGCACCAGTCTGCACTCCCACCAGCAGTGAAGAAGGGTTTCCTTTTCCTCACAGCGCACCAGCATTTGTTGTTGATTTCTTGATAGCAGCTGTTCTTTCTGGAGTGAAATGGAATATCAGTGTTGTTTTCATTTGCATCTCTCGAATGATCAGTGATGTTGAACATTTTTCAAATGTTTATTTGCTATTTCTACTTTGAGAAATGTCTGTTCATTTCAGATGTCCATTTTTGGATTGAGTCTTTAAATTTGGGAGGTCTGATTTTTTTTCCGTTCTTTATAGATTCTAGATAGTAGACCTTTGTCTGAGGAACCACTGGCTAAAATTTTTTCCCACGTTGTGGCTCATCTCTTCACCCTGTTGGTGATTTCTTTTTAATAAGATGCGGTCCCAGTTGTTGATTCTTTCTCTCTGGTGTGAGAAACATCCCTCCGCTTGATCTCCACGTAAATCCCAACCTGGATCTTGCCGAAGTTGGCTGCTGCCATCACCTCATCTGGCAGCCCAGCCGAGGGAGAGGGACAGGAGGGCGGAAAAGGCGGGAAGGGGGCGGGGTAGTTACGGGAGGCGGTGTGAACGTGAACACAAGCGAGGCGCAG